TTAGGATTTAACTAAATTTTAACTGAAAAGTTTCCAAGCATTATTTTGTTGAGTGCATAAGTCTCTGTGTGTGTGTGTGTGTGTGTGTGTGCGAGCTATGTAAAAATTTGTGGAGCCTGTCGCTTGTTGTTGTTTTTGTTGTTGCTGTTGCTGTTGCTGCTGTTGCTGCTGCTGCTGTTGTTGTTAACTGTTCCCTGTTGCCTGTCCCACAGGCAATAAAATGGTTGTAAATTCCTTTTTATTTCCAGCTTGCCACGTCAAGGCGAAAGGAGGAGCAGTAGCAGAAGCAGCCACGCACTCGGCCGGAATGGTGGGGCGGTGAGGCGGTGAGGCGGATGAGGGGAGGGGCCTGCTCTGTGGCACCTGCTTGGCATGCCAAATTAAGCAGCCAATGTTGGCAGAAATTCTTCGTGGCTGGCGGCTAAAATCACGCAACGCTTTCCCTGCCACTTCAATGATGCATATTTGATGCGTGTTTTACATATGCCAACAAACACACACACACACAACGTATACACACATACACACACACACACACATACACACACACAGATACACAAAATACACACATGTTCTGCGCATTTGTCAGTGACAATTTTCATTAATTTAAAAAGCTAGATAAATTTGTCGACCCATAACTATTTGACGCGGAGCTGATAAACAAGTGAAACTCGTGTTTCAACACACACACTCACACACACACAAACACACACTCACACACACACACACACTCACACACACTCACACACACACACACACACACTCGCACATCAGGAAAACAAACAGGCTGAATTCACCAAAAGCGGCATTTTAATGGCTCGCATATGTAAGTGGCTTCAAATGGATCGACCAAGCACACACACACACCAACACTCACACCAACACACACACACATCCACACACACTTACACACACCCACGCACACACAAACGTTAGCAGCTCCACCTGAACAAGCAACATTTCTCTTTTGCCCAAGAGCAAATGCCAAAGTTCATCCACAAAAACAACACAGAAAAAAAGAAGAAGAAAAAAAAAACAACAAAGTTTACCTTAATTTTTGTAGAAAAACAGCGCATCCTTTCTATATGCCTCCTGGCCGCCTATGACTCGCCCCCCTCCTGGTGCTAGCTTGCCTTCAGCTTAAGCCAGGTAATGCAACAAATTGTAAAAAGAAAACAACTTTATCTGCAGCTTCTGCTTTTTGACAGGCTTCTAAAGTAAAAAAAAAAAAAATAAAAATCTAAAAACTTTTTACACTCAAAGCGATTTAACGCCAAAGCAGTTTGTGCACCCAGAAAGTGGACCTTAAAATTCAACGCAATTTTTTTTTTGGGTTTTTTTTTTAGGTGCAGGGTAACTGCTAGTCGAGCATGGCTGTTATCAGTTTTGTTTGATAGATGAATGAACGAAAACTTGAAACAAACTCATTAAGCAACAGCATTGATGCGATTTTTATCGGCTGTACGACAGCATGTTGTATAAGGGGTTGTCGACCAGTGGATGGGGAGGGGGAGGCGGAGGTGGTGGTGGTGGAGGCGATGATGTATGGTATATGGTATATGGACTATATATATGGTGGTTCCTGAATGTTGGATGCCTGCTTGCTGGAATGCTTGAATGCTGACACGGTTACACAACTTCCGCTGTCAACATTTTTCCACTTTTGCATGCAGGCGACAGTCGCCACAGACGCGAGGTGGCTGGTGGTAGAGGCAGACAGCGAGAGAGCACACTTCCTGCCAGCACACACACACACACACACACAGACACAGACATATAGGCACAGCACTTAGGGACGTGCCCGGGAGCAGCATCCTTTCTTTGCCAGAATTCATGCTAATAATAATACACAGACAGCGAGAACGACGGCGTCAGGTGTAAAATATTGTTTAACACGAACATATGCACACACATACCTATATATATATATATATATATATATATATATATATATATATATATTTATATATATATATATTCATATGCAAATCAAAAACACATTGCGACACAAGCGGTAAGGGAAAAAGAAAAACAGTTGAAAAGCATTCCATGTTGCGCTTTCATTACGTACATACAATTTGGAACCACGCACTCTCCACACATCCACATACACATACACACGCATACATCCACACACACACACACACCCATACACACACACCCATACACACACATACACACACACACACACACACGAACACTTTCACATTTGTAATGCTGGTTAAATTGCCTTTGATGCTGACAAAATTGTTGATTGAATTTCATAGAATTAAATTTATATTTGTTGTTTTCGCGGCTGTTGTTTTTGTTGTTGTTGTTGTTGTCAAGCCAAGATTGTTGCTGTTTTCGTGTGTGTGTGTGTGTGTGTTGTTGTTGTTGTTGTCTTGAAACTCACCTGCAAATTGGGCGGACAATGATCCAACAGCTCGAGCATATGTTTAATATTCTGCGCATCCTGTATCACAAAATTCAATTCCATATCGAATTCACCGCCGACCAGCTGCAAAAATTGAACACAATTAAATTTAAATTAGTACAAAAATATTTTCAGTATTTCAAGTTAAGAGTTAAGGCAATTTTCTATATATGATATAACACCATGAATAATTGAGTTAATTCAAGTTAGCGTCGAAATTTATACAAACCGGATGCAAAATATGTATGAAACAAGAAGCAAATGCAACACAAATAAATAAAATGCAATCAATGCAATTTAATATTCTATTGTATGCATGTGTGTGTGTGTGTGTGTGTGTGTGTGTGTGTGTGTCTGTTTCTATTGACAACTTGGAATTAGTGAAGCAAAAGTGCAAATTGCAACTTGAGCTAAGCCGTCCATTAACTGAATGCTCAGTTTGCTTTGCTTTGGTTTCTCGAAGGCCTGTTATCTAATATCTAATGTGGAAACGTTCAATTTGTATTCTTTGTATTTGAATTACGTTTCAGCTTTTAAAGTTCGAATTGATGATTATGGCTTTAAGCGTACGCCAAGGGGGCGAATTGGTTGGTAGAGGATTATCATACTGGCTGTAACCATTTAGATGCCTTCAGGCATTTTCGGGCTTAAAGTTGTGGAGCTTAAGTTAAGTAAGTACCTATAGATGGCTGGTTGGCTACTGGGGATTGAGAGTGGGGGGGGGGGGGGGGGGTAAGGAAGGTGCTGGATGTGTTGTTGAGGGTTGGGCCAAGAGCCATTCTAGGAAACGCAATCAGCGCGCAAATAGATGAGCAAAAGAGAGAGATATACATAGACAGAGAGAGAGAGAGAGAGGGAGAAAGAGAGAGAAAATGGGAGAAAGAGTGAGCAATATGCGTGAGTAAGAGCAAAGAAAGGTTCTAACTTAATTACGATAGGCCGAGTAAAAACGCCACTTCTCTGCCCTCCCCCGCTTCAGCCAAGGCAATTCAAGACCAGCTCCCATATCTATCTAGGTTTTTTGACAACCAATTGGCAATCGGCAATCGAATTTCCCTTATTGTTGTTGCTGTTGTTGTTGTTGTTGTCTCGCTTTTATAGAGAACAGGCTGCTGGATATTTTTGTGTGTCAATTCATTTGATGCTTTTTGCGCGCTTTAATAAAATCAGCAAATAAATTCAATAAATTGATTTGGGTACTGCCAAAAAAAAACCAAAAAAAAACTTGCTCACAAGTGTTGCAAGTATTGCCAACAACAAAAAAAGAAATACCGAAATACAGTCGAGCACCCACCCGAGCCACCATCCTCTTGGCTCTCCCTGTCTATCTTTGTTTATTTATGTGTCTATTTTGTTTTGCGCTTCGTGTCTGTTTACATTTCTGCTATTTCTCTTTTTGGGGGCTTAACTGGCGTCCGCCAGCTGGGCGCCTTTTCATTTCTCTGCAACACTTCGGAGTCGCACTTGCTGTCCCCCTTGCTCATGCCAACAGCCGGTGGCTGTGGGTGGTTTGCCTGGGGCCAACTGCACTTGAGTTGCTTGTTGCGAACAGCTTTATAATTATGCGTCCTTAACCCCGCAACCCGACCTTGCTCACTCACTCTTTTGTTTCCCAGTTGAGGCTCGAGTGTAACCGCAGCCGTGGTTGCTGTAGTGCCTCCCTCCCCACCCAGCCTGCCACAACCCCATTCCCAGCAACAACCTTCCTGTCTACTCGTTCGGCGCCTTTTTGCAAGTTTAGGCCTATTGTGATTCCTTATCACCTGATTTGCAGTGAAATCAAAGCGACAGCTTCCCAGCAGCTGTGGCAATCGAGGCAGCTGCTCATAATGCCAAGTAAGCTGACTCACAATAAATGTGAAAGCTCACGACTAGCACATACTCTCTCAATGCAATAGGTAAGACGAGGAAAAATACTTGTTGAGTAATCGAGCTAAAATTGCGTTTCCAACTTTAAATGCAGTACTTAAGTAGAAGTCCAACCATCACCAAAAAATTTATATAAATGCCTCTGATAAATTATGTTAATTTAAAGTGCTCAAAGCTGACATTTTTTAGTATCAAAAGTATCAAAAATTCGAAGAATAAAATATATATTATCATCGTGAGCAACTAACAACAATGACTGGTATATTTTTTTGAGTCGAAGTTGAGTCGAAACATAGATAAAACTATATTTTCAATTTAATTCTCAAATGAGTATTGATTACAAATGGAATAACATTTTTTGACTGATACGCCCTTGACATACTCGTATGTATGTAAAGCTACATGATAGAAATGAATAATACTCAGTTTTATAAAGCAAAGGCTCTTATGGAATTATAATGCGAGGCAATAGTTATGATGAGAAAGTTTGAATGAATGAATACACCCACACCACACCCACACAGGCAAAGGGATGGGGATGGGGAAGGGCTTGCCCAACTAGAAGTGACATCAATGAGTGTTGAGCATCGTCTTGCCAAAAGACTTCACTCTAACAATTCTTAGCTCTAGTCAGCTTTTAAAGATTTAATTCAATAGGAAAATCTTCGATCCTAATGCAACTTTTACAGTTGATCAATAATATGTCTGTGTAGATTACATTACTAAATGACGGCTTTTATTGCTATCGGCAATCGATTTGTATCGGTAATCGCAGAGGCGGTTATCGATAAAATGAAATAAAGGTAATAAAGGCAGATCTCTTTAATAATATATATATGTATATATATATATATATATAAATGAGGTCAACGATGATAAAAACAATCAACAAATCATCAAGCAAGCAAAACACAAAAAGGAAAACCAATCCGAGAACGCAATTTTCATTCAAATTTAAATTAAACTTTTGCACAAAAACAAAAAAAAAAAAGTTTGCTTTGTCTTTTTTTCGCCTTGCACCTACCAAACAATTAACGCGAACTTCGCGCTTTTTACATGCGTTTTAAACGCCGCTTAATTATATTCCAGATTTGTTTTGAGGGGGTGGGGGCGGGGGGATGGGGATGCTTTGTGCTTTCAAGCTAAAAATTCCCCAGTGAGTTGCTCGCACTTTCTCTGACACCCACCCCTCACCCATCCACGGCTCACATCCCCTTCTACGCACCTTTCACTAGCACATTTAGTAAATTTTTGAGTTCATTTAAAAAGTTTTTTTTTTTTCAACTTTCGTTCTCTTTTTTTTTTGTATGTGTTGTCTCCAGGGAAAGAAGCTGTCGCTGACATTGCGCTGTTGCTTGTCACCTTGTCTCAATAACCCCCACCAGCGCTCCTCTTAACTTAACCCAGCCGCCCTTTAACCACCCATCCACCCAGGCCCCTCCCCCTCCCCCTCACCCATCAATTCTTGTTCTTTTGCGTTTCGTGGAGAGTTTTGCCTTTGCGCTGTTCTTCTTCTCAGTCGCTTTGCGCTCATTTAAAGTAAATTGAATTTCTATTTTATTTAAAATGCGCATTGAGACGCACTAAAAGTTCTCAAGTGGCAACGTTTTGTGTGCGGTGCACGGGAGGGGGTAGGAGGAGAAGGAGGGGGGGGGGCTTGGTTGCTTCAGTTTGGTGTTGAATTTTTGAGTATTTGGGATTGAGCATGCTGAAAATTTAGCGTGAAGGTGTAAAAATTACACTTTACACAGACAAATAGAAAGGGAAACCGAGAGTGGAGGTGGAGAGGGATGTGGATGTGGACAGGGGGGGGGGACTGTTGCTACTGCTGGCCGAAGGGGCAACTTGGCTTTTGTATTTGACTTTATTCGTTGCTGCCGCTCTCGCCTTTCTGCAACTTTTTCGCATTATTTTTTTCTACTTTTTTTGTTTGTAATTCAATTTCATTTTGCAGGTGTCGAAGTTGACTTAAATTGCGTTAAAACTCATTTTCAAAGAAGTGTGTGCGTGTATGTGTGTGTATGTGTGTGTGTAGTTTTCCTTCCTCTAGGGGTATATAGGATAAGAGTGAATAGTTAGTGGTATAACGTAAAAGCAGCGAACAAAATCTAAACATAAGCTAAATTATTTAGAAGCCAAATATTATACACACATATTTAACCTATACAAAAAAGATGATTTGCTTTTGAAAATGCAGTTTCGAAAAACTTATGAAAAATGTATATTTTTTTGTAAAGAATTTGATGCAAGGCAAAAATGAAGTGAAAGTGTGCGCTATAATTCCCAATTGGTCTGTGCCACAAGCTGCAAACAAAGATCGCTGTGATTAACTACCCCCTGAGGAAATGTAATAAAAAAAAATATACAAAAAATTCAAATTCCAATATAAGCCAAATGCAAAAGAGACAAACACACAGCAAAATGTTTTCTCACATTTGCCCAAATATTTTGTTGCTTGCTTTTAGGCTTTTGCCATACAACCATAGTTTTCTCTCTCTCTTTCTCTCTCTCACTCTATCTATCTTTCTCTCTCTCGCACTCTGGTGCTGTCTGGTGTGTGCGTATGTGAAAATTTTGTGCGTTGGCCTCTGTGCCGAATGCTAATGCCACTTTGATGCTTTATCATGACGCTCTATCATTGACGGTCTCGCAGGCTCCTAGGCTCCCAGGCTCCCAGTCTTCCATTTCCATTCTCAAAGCCCACAAAAAAAAAAAAGAAAAGAAAACCCTTAAAAACCCATTGCCTTTCCTCTCTCTTTCTTTCATTCTCACTCTTTCTGGCATATTCCTGGGCTTTTGTGGCATTTCTTTGCAGCACGGCCGTCATTAGGGAATACTCGCAGTTTTTATTTATTTTATTTTTTATTTTTTTGTGGTTAAGCTTTTAAAACAGTTTTTGAAAAGTAAACACCATACCCCTCAGCCCCCTTCAGCCCAACCCAGCTCCCAACCCATCTCCTATTTTAAAAGTTGTTGTTTTGTTGCCTATTTTCTGTATCTGTTTTTTTTTTTGGGGGGGTTTTTCTTTCATCGTCGCTTATTTTAAAAAGCTCTTTGCTCCCAACACTTTACTCAATTTCTACCGTTTTTATTTTGGTTTTCATTAAAGTCTAGTAAAAGCGTTGCTACAAATTGTTGGACAAATATCAACTACATTATTGTAAATATTCACATTCATTCGGAAAATTAATGTGAAATACTTAAATATATATTTT